TGTCGATGCACACCGATCCCTCGCAACTTCCGATTCGACACGATTTGCCGAATCGATGCTGATATTGTTTTAGGTCTCCCAGATGAGGTCGGAGTAGATGGGGTCGGAGGATCGCGCCGCATCGCCCGTGTATCGACGATGCGGTTCGATGTGGAGCCCAATTCTCTCCACGCCGACGGTGCCGATGCATCGGCGATGTATCATCGGCGATGCGGTGCGATCCTCCGACCCCATCTACTCGGACCCTATTGCGAAGGCCTTACGGCTAGTGCCGATGACCCTGTGCGCAATGGGCAGGAACATGTTCTGACGGTGGGATGCTCAGCAGGAGGAAGAGAAGGGGGAGGAGGAGGAGGAGGAGGAGGAGGAGGAAGGAGGAGGAGGAGAGGAGGAGGAGGAGGAGGAGAGCAGGAGGAGCAGGAGGAGCAGGAGGAGGAGGAGGAGGAAGAGAAGGAGGAGGGAGGAGGAGGAGGAGAGGAGGAGGAGGAGGGAGGAGGAGGAGGGAGGAGGGAGGGGAGGGAGGAAGGGAGGGGAGGAGGGAGGAGGAAGGAGGGAGGAGCGGAGGAGGGAGGGAGAGGACGGGAGGAGGGAGGAGGAGGAGGCGGATCGGCTGCGCGTAAGAGTGACGCATCGCCGGAGTGACCTGTGGCGCGGCCCATCATTAGGGGTCCCACCAGCAACGGTTTGCGCGCTTCGCTCTGGCCGCACCGCGGCCCCCTGAAGTCGCGCACCAAAGGTCACTCCTGCCCAGTGTCAGCAGGTGCCCAGAGGAGGAGGAGGAGGAGGAGGAGGAGGAGGAGGAGGAGGAGGAGGAGGAGGAGGAGGAGGATGAGTGGCATGAGGAGGAGGAGCAGGAGCAGGAGATTCAGAGCAGCGTGAGGAGCAGGAGGAGCAGTATGAGCATTGAGGAGCAGGAGCAGAGAGAGAAGGCAGGAGGAGAGGTTGAGGAGGAGGGAGGAGGTGGGGAGAAGGCAGGGAGAAGCAAGGGAGGAGGAGAGGAGGAGGAGGAGGAGGAGGAGGAGAAGGAGAGGAGGAGGGAGGAGGAGGATCGGAGGAGCAGTAGGAGGAGGAAGCAGGAAGATGAGGAGCAGGAAGAGAGGAGGAGGAGGGGGAGGAGGAGGAGGAATAGGAGGAGGGAGGAATGAGCAGGATGGTTAGTATGAGGGGCAGGGGGGAGGAGAAGGAGGAGGAGGAGCAGAAGGAGCAGAAGGAGCAGGAGGAGCAGGAGGAGCAGGAGGAGCAGGAGGAGCAGGAGGAGCAGGAGGCGCAGGAGGAGGATATGGAAGAGCAGAAAGAGCAGGCGGAGGAGGTGGAGGAGGAACCGGAGGAGCAAGAGCAGCAGGAGGGGCAGGAGGAGGAGGAGGAGGAGCACGAGCTGGAGGCGCAGCAGGAGGCCTCTGGGAGGCGCCCCCCGCTGGCAGGCCCCGCGGACCCTGGCGGCGGGGGCGCTGCTCTTCGGGGCGCTGCTCTGCGGCCGCGCGGCCGTGGGCCACCCGGTGCCGGCGGGCGCGGCCTCGCTGGGCGCCTTGGTGTATCCGGCCGCGGCTGCCGCCTTCTGCCCACCTCTCCCTCGCGCCTCCCACCTCTCCCTCCCCTCGTCGTCGTCCTCGTCGTCGGTCGTTTCCTCACCCTGCCGCTGGGCCCCTTCGCGATGGTAAAAAGAAAGTGTCTCCGGCCGCGTCGTGAGGCGCGCCCCTTGCCGGACCCCCCCCCGCGGAGTGATGGAAGAGCTCGAAGACGAAAAAAACGCACAAACAGAGAAGCTCTTGGCGCTCCGCGCGGGTTTTTCTGGGATCCGCGCGGAGCGCTGGAAGACGTGGTCGCAGGCCTAGAGGTTGACACCAACACCAAAATCGGCAGTGTGCTTCCACCGCGGGAAGATGATCCCGATCTCGGCGATGGTGGTCATATTCTGGCTTCCAAACTGACCGAAATACTG